TGCACTATTTCAAAGGTATTCAAGCTGCCTACCCACCTTAAAATGCTGAATATTTATTGTACACATAATAATTATATCGTATACATACATTGCACCAATTTGGAGTACACCTTGTATATTGGTGCATACACCCGTTTAGAATCGGAATATTGAACTTTTTCTTGGCTGAGGTCCTTCAGTAGATGTGTTTGAACAAATTTCTAACCAAAAAGGAATTTTGAAAATTTTGACCCTAAGGGCTGTTTTCGCTGGTTGAGGCCCGAATGTCGTTCCCAATAACTTGTTCCTGTTGTCCGTTGTAATGTCTGGAGACGATGCCGTCAGTTGACCTTCTTCGGACTCAACATAACAACAACAGCGTAGTGAAGAAATTGTGTAGCATTATTCCCACATCGACGAGGAATAGCATCAATAAATTGTACAGACAATACATTTTCTTTCTGGAAACAAAGCATAGGATCAAACTTAAGATTGTACAACGCTTCTAACACAGCCGAATGCAATGGACCTGTACCACGTGACAGTACTGAGCAAGCGTCGTTACAGTAGAACTCCCGACAATTAGCATACGTGGACAGATGGCTTTAGATAGATGAAGCACCACTCTGGGCTCATTTCTTTGTTGTCCCCTCAAGTGTCCTGTCATCTCTCCTCTGCGTGACATCACAGTACCCATCTCATGGCCTGGTGGAGTTCATTGTCCCTTCAGCTGCATCTCCTCCAGTATGATTCTTCGTGGAGCTTCTCACTCTAGTCTCAAAGTTCTGGTTTAATTACGCGGTCTTCCACGTTGTCCAACACCCACTTTGGTTATCACTTCTATTGTAATTGTAAGTCGGTCCTCTCCAGTACCTCTTCTCACTTGGCTTCCTGTGACGCTGATGGATCCTTTCACAGTTTGGTTGGTTTTTCGGTGGGCCTTTCTCCAACTTTTACATTTCTCTGGGTTGACTCCAGCCCCACACATGTGAAGGATGAGAAGCAAGTTGGCATATCTACACCGGAAGAGGATGATTCAACAGTAGACGGTGAATTACATATAGGAGGACGACCACGACAACGACGAGACTCAAGCGCATCAAGCGGAACAACACTGTACGGCACATTTTGGCGGATGCGTGCGCTTTATTATCATACTGTTTTTACAAAACACATACATCGTTATTTTGACGGCACAAAGCAGCAAGGCGGCAATGAGACATACGGAATGGCACGGGTGGAGGAAAGGGAGGGGCAGCTTGCTGGACATAGGATCTCGGCTTTATTGCTACCCAAGTTCGAGGCAAGGGGATCAACGGCCAGTGTTCATATCGGCAGCATCCACACAACGCAGACAGGAAAGGTGTCAGATATGTATAGATGCCACAGACCTGAGCCTCGAGATAACTCCGGACTTCTGGCCAAGGCCTCTATACCGTGCGAAGCCCAACCGACAACACCCTGCCAGCGCTGCGAGAGATGCCCCTACAACTGATGGTGCTGACAAGGCTGACAGAGACGGTACGGCATTAGCTAGCGCCCCCCCCCCCCCCACCCCCATTGATCAGTGCAGCTCCGCTGCTCCGCTGGTTAGTGACCAACACATTTGATCTCACCAACAAGCTGGAAGCGTGCCAGCATGCACTGCTCAACAATAACGTTGACATAGCAGTTATCACAGAAACGAACTTCTCGGCCAAGACTGTAGCCTCTGAGACGATATTTCCAGGATACTAGCTTCCCATCCAACGTGACCGGGATGCATCTGGCAGCGGCATTGCTGTATGGGTGAAGTCCGGCCTCCCAGTGGGGCACCTCGACCATTCCCACTGATGACCACGAAGTCCTCCGGCTCGCAGTGAGTCTTTCTACGCAACAATCTGTTGTTATCGGTGCCTTGTTTCAGCCTGGATCCTGTGCGGACAACGACACCTGTCTGATTGAGTATCTTGGACCTGCACTATACATGGCCCGCACTCACGGCACTCACATGGTGCTAGCTGGGGATTTTAATGTCCATCAAGAGACCTGGCTCTGCAGCACCAAAACAACTGTAGCTGGAGAGGCCTTGGAAGAACTGTGTGCTGAGCTTCAACTCCACCAGCAGGTCTTGCAGCCGACTAGGGGTCTGAACACCCTGGACCTCATCCTCTCCAACATGCCCGTTCCTATAGACACCACTGTCAAAGCGCCACTTGGTTGCACTGACCATGGGGTTGTTCTTGCCGACTTCTAGCTCACCCCTGATGCTGAGCAAGCTACCTCCAGGACTGTCTGGCGCTACAATCAGGCAGATTGGGGGCGCTTCTGACTGGTCCACCATTGCGACTGACGACCCTGAAGAGTCCTGCAAAAAGCTGAGTGACGTCATCTCCAGCGGGATGCAGAAATTTATCCCCGACAAGCAGCTTGTTACCCGCCCAGCAGACCCCAAATGGTGGACTCCTGAGTGCACCACAGCAATTAACGCTAAAGACAAGGCATGGAAGACCTGGAGATGCAATATTGTCAGCGAAGCCCACAAGGCTTGCTTTATGAGCTCAGTAGAAGATGCTATCCTCGCGAATGTGCGAGCTTGCACACCCTGGGAACTGAGAGTTTGTCGGAAACTGTCACGCGAAGGCCTTAGAGACAAGCAATGGTGGTCAGTGCTGAAATTTGCTGCTGGCGCCAGTCACGGCTCGCATATACCATGCCTGGTGGATGACGCTGGTCGACAACTCCATATGAATGCTGCCAAAGTGAACTACCTTGGTCCCTATTTCGCCAATAAACGTAGCCTTGGAGATGATGATTTGGGCCGGGGGGTGGGGGGGGGATCTCCCTCATGCTCGCGAACCCGGGGTCACCCCACTTACCCAAATCCACTTCCGCCTGCAAACAGTGAAACGCCTCCTGAACCAGCTCGACGTTGGCAAGGCGTCCGGTCCGGACAACATCCCTGACCGAGTGCTCAAAGAGTGCTCCCATGAACTGGGGGGGGGGGGGGTACTAAGGGGAAAGTAGGTAAAATATGAGAGAGTCTAGAAGTGAATGGAAGAGGGAACAGAGTTAGAGCATTTTCGTCTTTTGCCTTTAGTTCGTAGCCTGTCCATCTTTGAACATCTGCAATGCTTTCCTTGTTCACGGGTTCAGAAGAACACACTGCGGGAGCTGGTTCCAGACCTCCACAATATGCTGAGGGAAGGATGAAAGTACATCATTCCGTTCTCAGTGGGGCGAGCTGAAACTGGTGTGATGAATGCAGTTGTGTGCTATGGCTTGATGGGTTGGTAGCGCAGGGTGGAAGACGGGCGAGGAGCATATCTGGGCCAGTTGAACAATGGAGCTTGTACAGAAAGCAGAGTGCTCCAAGCGTTCTGTGAATGCCTAGGCAAGGGAGGTTTTTCTTTCCTTTTTCATTTTTCCACATTGATCATGGCTCTTGGGCAAAGACAAAAAAATTGCATAGTGGGAGCATAGTGATGGTGAGGCTTTCTGGCCTCAGCCGACCTGAGGTCTCGACATTATGGGGACATAAAACGCACCAAAAAAAAAGAAGAAGAAAAATTAAAGAAGTGACAGGTACATGACACTAAATGTTAGGAGAAGAGACAGTACATTAGAAGGAAGGGAGGGATAAGACAGAGAGTGTTACGAGGAGAAGGAGAGAAAATAAGGAAACACGTTATTGGAATGAGTACATGGAGCGGAATTTGAAAATCATGGGGTGAGGCAGATATGATGCTGATACCCAGAGATGATCATGCACCCACGATCATCCGTTGTTCTTCAAACAGCCTTTGGCTGCAACTTTGAAATGTTGCAAGTTCTTGGTGCAAAATGGACCAGAGAAGACTCCGGCGGGCAGCTGGTTCCAGACGGGGAAAACTGCGCGAGGGTAGGCTCGACACAGGTTGTTTTGGGAAGGGACTGGAAGTTCATTTTGCCAGTTGGTGTGCGTGGGCGTTACATCTTTGAAACGCACTACAGGTGGAGTGGACTGTTTGGGATTGGGGCTGCTGGGGTGGCAACATCCTCTGCAGAAAGCGATGTGCATCTGGACAATGCATATTGTACAGGAGGCAAAGGTAGGGTCCCTCACCGATTAGGCGATGGCCACACTGTTGGATGGGGCGAGCCAGAGTGGTTTGTGCCCGGGCGGACAAAGCGCTTGCAGATCACACAATGACACCTGGAGTCCAGCATTCGAGAGGGATTCCGGAGGAAGCCGAGATGCTGCGATCCTCGAATAGCCATCTTGGGAACATATACCAGATCTCTTCAAGACATTGGACTTACGAGCACGTTTGAGGTGACGCAAGTAACTTATTATCCTTTTCCAGACTAATGAAGCTAAGGAAAAATGTTGATAGGAAACACCTCGGGCTCTTGAACAACGTTCTGAAAACTAATGGTAATCGCGAGTAAACTTCCGTACTTTCTCCTCAGGTGATATATAAGCAAGAGCAAATACAATGAATTATGAACTCGGATGGTGAGCCAATTAAATTTTGGTTGAAAAGGAGAAGGACAAAAAAATTTAAGAGTCATGACTAACTGTCCACCAACCACCATTTTGTCACACTCGCTGACTGTATAAGATCTGGTTACGTTGGTGGATAGTTAGTCATAACTCATAACATGTTGTCCTTCTCCTTTATCACCATAATTTAATTGGCTCACCATCCGAGTTCAACTTTGCACACCTTATGAGCCGCCATAACCTATACGGCGAAACGTACGTCGTGTGGAACAACTTGTTACTGCACATAATTAGCCTATCATACTTAAATGACACAGTGTAGTGAAGTTCAGTAGAATGTTGACGTTTCGGTTTGTCACAATTCGTCTTCGCTTAGCTTCCCTTTTCATTGTTTTCCACATAAACTTGAGCCTCCCAAGTTGGGTGGTTTGTTGCGTCGTCGAGTTGTAGTAAGGCCGGTATGTCCAATAGTCTTACTAGTTTCGTCATAATCCAGTAACATTTGGCATTCTTTGTTCCCGTGGCGCGTAGCTCGTGCTCTTCTTCGTTGCGCTTTCCTTCCCCTCTTGGACCTTTTCGAAACTGAGCCTTCCAAGTTGGAAGGTTGTTGGTTTCTGCACCTTGGAGAAGTGTTGGAGCTAGGAGTCAGGTCGCCGAATGTCTCAGTACTCCTTGTCAGTTTTGTGCCATTTTTGCCGCAACTCTGCTGTGATAGTTGCTGGGACTTCAATGTACATCACCAAGTGTGGCTCCACAGTAGCAGAACAACTAGAGGTGTCGAGCATGCAGAGGAAACGTGCTACATGCACGGTGTTGAACAGCTAGCCTAGTCGATCAACCACCGCACGGCTGCAACACACTGGACCAGACGATGTCCGACCTACCCGTAGAATCATTTGTGTCTGTTTTGCCACCTCTTGGCCAATCTGACCATGCCTGTCTACTTGCCGACTTCCAGATCCATGCATCACGCGAGCCTCCCATATCTAGAACAGTATGGAAGTGTAACAGGTAGCCGAGTGGTAGGCGCGGTGCAATCAACAAGAGTTAGTTTTATTCTACTTCGCTCAGGTACAAACCTGGGATATAATTATTAGTAAAAGAAGAAGCGGCAAATAAATGACTTTCTCTCCGGCGCACACCTAGAGGTTGACTACTTCTTCTTCGAGTTAGCTTTGTCGTTGCTATACAATCTTAATAATCTTATGAAATCAGCAATGCGCAGCAGCTTTTATGCAACAGACGCCGTACGCTTACAAACGGAGATACACTAAATATACATCAGGTAAAGTTCCGTATTAGTTCCGTATTACTTCCGTATTAGCCGGCCAGGGATACTACACCTTCCCTTACTACAGATAATCACGCCCTCGTGATTTTCAAAAATTAGGGAAGAGTTATGTACCCAGCATCAACCGGAAGATGGCAAATTATATCGGAAATGATAACGTTAAGAGTAGACAGAAGAAATGAACTGATAACAAATCATAACATAGAAGTAAAAGCACACCAGGTTCACACGATCTCTCGGGGTCAGGGAAAGAATGGTCCTCCAAACAGGACGTGAAAGACAGCCAAATTTCTAAACATCGCGGGCTCAAACTGCCAGGAAATTCACAATTTCAAAAAAATGCATTGCATCGTGGGAAATTACTCCGGTACACACCTGGAGTGTAAAAGGGGTTTCTCACACACTTCTCTCACCAGGTTACTTAGGTAAAATGTGGCTCGCTATGATCAGACGCCTACCAAACTAAACTGGATATCACACACTCGCATAAAGGAAGACTGAAGAGAACAGGGAGACTGAAGGAAGACAGGAAAGAAAATGCCATACCTGGAATCAGCGTAAGTAACCACGACTAGCTCGGCATAAGACAGGGATACTACAGAGGTATCAGCATGCAGATTGGGCCAGGCTCCGTCACTTGGTCAGAACCACCAATTGGGCAGCTATTGCTTGGATTGATCCAGACCTGTCATGCACTGGCATCTCAAAGAGGAACCTGGAGGGTATGCAGAGATTCATCCCCTCTAATACCCTGAAAACCTGTGCATTCGACCCTCTTTGGTGGATCCCTGAGTGCACTGCTGCCACAGTGAGGAAATGACGTGCATGGAGATACCTGAGAGATAACCTGCTCTGCTGAACTGGAACAACCTCTTTCTACACTGTTCACACAATGCTTCCAAACTGTGATACAGCCCAAGACATGGAATATTGCCAACATAGTCCCTATATTCAAACGGAAATCAAAGTCTCTACGCTCCAATTACCGTCCAGTTTCGCTCTTGTGTATTCTGTCCAAAGTGATGGAGACAATCATCAACAGAACAATAACTAATTTCCTCGAGTAGAACAACGTCTTCTGCACAAGACAGTTTGGATTTCGCCATGGCCATAGTGCAGCCGACCTCCTCTCCAGCCTCCACAACCAATGGCTGCATACAGCCGGGAAGAAAGGCGCAGCACGCATACTCACCATTGACATAGCCGGCACGTTTGATCGCGTATCACACCTCGGTGTGCTACACAAGTACAACGTATACGGCTTGCGTGGGCAACTGCACCAGTGGCTCAGCAGCTATCTCATTGAACGCTACCTTCAAGTGGTCATTTGTGGCCAGACATCCTTAAGGCTCTCAATTCAGACTGGAGTCCCCAAGGGCAGTATTCTGGGTCCGACTCTCTTCCTCATATACGTGAACGACTGCAAGGACCACGTACCAGCCGGTGCTGACCAAGCCTCATTCGCAGACGACACTACACTGCATGCCAACATCACCTCCACCACCCAACAAGATACCACCCAAGCCCATCTGCTAGCAGTCAACAACATCTCCCTCTGAAGTCAAGAATGGAAGATAGAAATTTGAACTCGCAAAAAAGTATTCAACTGCGTAATTCTTATTTCTGCTCATAAAAACGATCGTGCATTAGGGATAATCTGACTTACATTATTCCTTGGTTCCAACGAATGTCCAGAAGTGATAAGATATTCCACTGTGGAAACATGACCACGCCGTGCTGCATCATGTAATGGTGTGTCACCGTCCTGGAAGTAGCAGAAAATTAAAGACAAGACATGTACACACATACCCACATTCATACACATGTTGATGCACACGCACCCTTGCACGCACACACACACACACTCATGCATGCATGTACACACACACACACACACACACACACACACACACAAACACACACACACATCAAAAAACACACACACCTCAGATCCCAGATCTCAGACCTGCCCATCGCAGAAGCATTGGTAAAGAACAGCTACGTTAGACACAGCAACTAGTGATGGGATAACACACACACACACACACACACAAACACACAAACGCACACACACAAACGCACACACACACTTTTTTTTACAAGATAACCACAAACTATCATGGTGCAAACGCCGGCAAAAACGCACAGAGATGCATATAGCGATGGCAGCCGAAGCAGTGGAGGGGGGGGGGCAAGAGCAGCTGAACCGAACCGACCAGGGGTCTCGGCCTTAGCACTGCTCATGCGCGCCAAACAGAAAAATAGAAAAAATGAGCAGGAGCACTACAAAGCAAATGTGAAACAAGGGTGGCAGCACGATCACGGAATGTTGTTCAATTGGAGGAAAAAAGTTGAGGTTCAGGTACACCATACATTGACTGTATACGCTCAGCAGCAGGTATCCGAAATCATACACACACGCACACGCAAGAGCAGCTAAACCGACCAGGGGTCTCGGCCTCAGCACTGCTCATGCGCGCCAAACAGAAAAATAGAAAAAATGAGCAGGAGCACTACAGAGCAATTGTGAAATAAGGGTGGCAGCACGGTCACGGAATGTTGTTCAATGGAAGGAAAAAGGTTGAGGTTCAGGTACACCATACATTGACTGCATACGCCCAGCAGCAGGTATCCGAAATCATACACACACGCACGTGCGCGCACACACACACACACACGCACACGCGAACAGCCACACACACACACACACACACACGGAAGTATTACACACACACGTACTATACACACACATTCACACACACACACACACACACACCAGTACTATACACACAGACACACACACACACACACACACACACACACACACACACACACACACACACACACACACACACTACTACTATACTATCAATCAGCTACCCCTTGGGGTCACGCCGCCCTCCACTCAGAGAACTGAGCGCAAGGTGAGGGGCAGTGGCGCAAACAAAACAGAAAGTACAGCAAAATGAATTGAAAAAAAGGAAATCAAAACAAGCTGCCATATTGATGGAAAGGGACTCACAAACAGAGGAAGGAAATATCACAAACCAGATGAACAGTCTGCTGTAGGTCCACTATAACATGCAACGACTGAAGAAAGGAACAATATTAATGTGAACATGATGTTCTGTTCAACAATAACGTCTGTACTGCTTCGGCCTTCATGCACCAGGAAAGCACAATCTTGAGCTGGAGGGTGGGCACCGAACGTCCCACAAGGGCTCCACAAGACGTACTTTCACGAAACGACGACGAGGAGTATGCGCAGCAAGCTAACATCACAACACCATCGCCGCACGACGACTGGCCACTCAGGTCCAAACAACACGACAAATTCACAATTCCAGCTATCACCGCGCAGGAATAAATTGTTGCGAGTGTGACCTGTATCCTTTTTCATCCAGGAATCCACTTGTTTTGCCGAACGCCACTCAGCATTGTTTCAGGCTGGGGATTGATCCGAGGGCTCGCCACGCCACTGCGGAGGATGCGGAAGGGGCGCAAGAAGACGGTGACGGCAACAAATTACCCGCCCTGGTCGTCAGCTCACTGAATGCCCTTCCGCGCGAGCGAAACCGGCTGCAAGGCATGAAAAGCCTACTGCCAGTCAATACCCAGGGACGACCCTGACCAGAAGGCCAAGGCCGCCCCGTGGAGGAGGCCAACAAAGAGAAAACCAGGAGCTAACAAATCTGCTTCCTCTCCGCGAAAATATTTCACACACACACACACACACACACACACACACACACACACATACACACACACACACACCTCACACACACACACACACACACACACACACACACACACACACACACACACAAGTACTATATACACACACACACACAAGTACTATATACACACACACACACACTATACACACACACACACACACACTGTACACACACGCACACACACACACGCACGCACACACACGCACACACACACACACACACACAGATCAAAGGTGCGTAGAGGACCAATGCCAGTCAGCAGATCGCAGATACTTATGAACGCCTTCTTTGAACTGCTGGAGGCAAGGTAGAGTAAGTGGTGCTGTGATGAGCTCTGGAGGAAGGCCATTCCACTCCTCAACAATGGCGGACGGAAATGATCGCTGTACGCTGTTGCGTGAGTGACGGTTGTGGGGCATGGCAAACTGCAATTCATGGCAAATCCGGCTCTGCTGACGAGTGCGAGGATGCCCTTGCAGCTCTGGTGCAACGGCAGGGATCATTGCTCGCAGTGGTGAGCTAGTTGGGAGGCACTGGAGCTTATATAAGTACGTGTGAGCAGCAACAGCATGGCGGAGGGCCAGACTTGGGAGCCATAACTCACGAGAGATGATCTTGAGAGCTCGTAACTGAACTGCATCGAGCTGGCGAAGGGTTGTAGTGGCAGCCCACATCCAGACCAACGGGCGGTATTCCAGTACTGGTCTGATGAAGCCTTTTTAGACCCGCTCTCTTCCACGAACATCAAGGATGGGGGCAGCTCTGTTCAGGAAGTGTAACCGCTGGCGAGCACTTACGGCTACAGAGCGCAAATGCTGGTGGAAAGACAATTGTGTGTGGAACTGGACTCCTAGGAGCTTGAGCTCTGCTTCCTCCACAACTAGTACTCCATCGAAGGAGATGGCTGGGAGCTGCCCACGTGGCCGATGGTGATCGATGGTGAGGGTCTGGGATTGGTGGGCTCAAATGAGATCTTCCAGGCTTTGCCCCAGGCGGAGAGGTCATCCACTGCATGCTGCAAAACACGGCTTTGTTCATTCACGTCTGCGCCCACTGCGAGACACTGATACAGCGTGGTGTCGTCCGCATAGACAGCGAGATCTACGCCCTCTCCGAGAGTAGTGTCACTGTCATTCACGTATAACAAGAACAGGGTAAGCCCCAGTATACTTACTTGAGGAACACCAGCGGTAATGGGAAAGACATTAGACTCATGGCCAGATACGACTGCACGGAGATGCCGAGCTGATAGGTAGTCGGTCAACCAGGTTAAAAGGTGGCCCCTGAGCCCATAGACAGCAGCCTTGTGAATCACACCTTTGTGGGACACCTTATCAAATGCTCCAGCTATGTCTATTGCAAGAACACGGGCTGAGCCTCCCGAACCAGCAGCTCTACTCCATTGCTGATGTAGGAGCGTCAGGATATCTGCAGTGCCAAGGCGTCGGCGGAATCCATATTGCTTTGCAGACAGAACATTTTGGCGATCTAGAAAGTTCATGATTGTGAGGTTCACAATGCCCTACATTACCTTTGAGATAATGTGGAGTAGGGACACTGGTTGGTAGTGGCTGATGGGTGAACGGGAGTTCTTCTTGTGAACTGGAACTATTCTGGCCTCTTTCCAGTCTGCCGGTTGTCTTCCAATAGAGAAACATGTGGCAAAGAGGCGTGCAGGGGGGGGGGGGGGGGCAGCAAGCTCGTTTGCACACGTCACGAGGACACAAGCTGGGATGTTTTCAGGTCCTGTTGCTTTGGAGGTGTCAAGCGGAAGGAGGGCTCGGGCTACAGCTGGTTCCCTGATATTCACTTGGTGCAAGGGGGCGGTAGACTTAGGCTGTACATGTGGGAGAGGCTCATCCTCGAAATCATCCACAAGAGAGCATTTCCCAGCAAAATCCTTCCCAAACGCCTCAGCTTTGCTACTATTGGTGGAGTGTTAATTGCCATCAAGATCTATGATAGTAGCTATGCCAGAGTTGCGTCCATGGCCACTGGCTTGCTTCAGAGTTTTCCACCACTCTTTATCGTTTCCACAACCTGCTTGCAGTCGAGCTCGAAGACGCTGACGGTGGATTGACTTTGCAGCAGAAATGCGGAGGCGGGCATTTGTGCAGGCTATCTTGTATGTGCTCTGATTAGCAACACAAGGTTGTGAGTGCCAATGCCGCCAAGGTCTTTGCTTCTCTTTGACAGCGTCAGAGCATTCCGGTGCCCACCCTGGTTTATCAGATGGGCGTGCTACAAGTCTCCGAGATGGTATGAACTTCTGCATACCCAGAAGAATGTGGCTAGTCACCGCCCGGGTGTATTCATCAACATCAGGTGAGTGCAGTGCGTCCCAATCTGTGGTTCAGTAGAAGTGCTGTAGGCGAGGCCAGTCTGCTTTCTTGTAGCGCCAGACGGTTCTCCGCGTGCTCTTCTCTCTCTGCAGCTGAGAACTACATGTAGCTATGATGACAGCAAGGTCAGACTTGCCAATTGGGGGCAGTACCTGAATGTGGTCCAGGTCTGCCGCTAGGGTTTATCAGGTGTTAGTGGCCGTCGTGAGTTCCTTTCGGGAACGGATACGATAATTTACTTTTTTTTTACCTGAATGTGGACGGGGTCTTGGAAGTCCGTCATGACCAGGTCCAACGTGTTAGCATCGTGGGTGGGTTCCAGTACATGTTGGGTGAGACCAGGCAGTGTGCACATGTCCTCTGCAGCTTCACCAGCAACGCTCGTCCTGGTGCTGTGGAGCCAAGCTCGGTTGTGCACATTGAAATCGCCGGCAATAATGATGTTAGATCCTTGCTGCCGCACTCTGTCAATTGTGCTATCAATATACTCAATCATGGAGATGTCGCTGTCAGAACAGGAGCCTGGCCGGTAAGCCGCACACACCATTACGTTGTTGCCTGATTGTAGTTGCACAGTAATCCATATTACCTCCAGGTCACCGCAGCTCACCTGCTCCAGATGTCTGTAGGCCAGACTGGACCGCAACCACACAGCTACTTCTTCACCCTGTCATGTACGGTCACGA